CCAAATCTAGCAGCCGCACGTTGAATGGTGTCATGTGATACGCTATCGAAGGCTTTAGAAACACCAAGAATAGCTATGGCACAGGAGGAAGATTTGGAGTGAGCTTCCCTGTGGATAGCGTGAAGGAGATTAGTTGCCTCGAAACAACCATCTTTGTTAAGAAATGCAAATTGATTTTTCTCATGGGGAAAAAGAGTCATCCATCGGCGGGCGAGAATCTTATGAAAGCAACGAATAATGGCAGGAGTGATAGAGATAGGGCGAAAATCAGCGGGTGTACAGGAGGATTCGTTTTTGAAGATAAAAGTGACGCGGGCAGTTGCAAGATTTCGAGGCACATAGTTCACCAGGAGCAGAAGATTAAGGTAGCCAGCAATAACATCAGGATTACATCTAAGCAGGTCACTGGCGTATATACGATCCACCCCACAAGCGGAGTGTCGCATGTCCTTCAGGGCCCACGTAATATCCCCAGCATTAAGGGGAACAGCTAAGGAGTCATTGACAGGGATCACCGGATTAATAGGACGCTGGTCAACCATGGAAGAGGAACAAAAGATATCCACCCAGTAAGAATTGAAATTAGGAATAGATAGGGGATCAATATAGAAAGGATTACGCCACCTACCATCGACAACAGTAGCAGAAGCATCTTTGGGGGACTTGGCAAAGAGAGCTTGAATATGGGCATACAAAACTCTACGCTTTTTCATAAGAAGAAAGACTATCAAAATCATGGGGAAGACAACGGGGTTTGGAAGGAAGCCACTTAATCGGAAAGACATCACAGGCATGCAATTCAAGAGAAGAAAGAATAGAATCTCGCGAACAAACACCGGAGGAAAAGGATTTGATACAATCTAACAGTAAAGAAGGTTCAAGCAAACGAGAGTCATTGTTAAGTTGAGTAAGTACAGAACAAAGAATTCTGGATTGAAGAGAGTCAAAAAGAACAGGTGAGGTAGTGTAATCATTGTAGGGCAACTCGTCAAGATCAACTGGACAAGACTGATGTTCTACGGGGGATGGCTGGTGACATAACAAAGCAGTTGTCGTCGTGCAGATGGCGACATGGAGAGGATGTTGGACAACGGAAGAAAAGGCGGAGGTAAGCTCTATTGGCTGAATGATACTCGTGCTATCTGCTTCCATACGCAGTGATTTGATCGACCCGAAGTGAAGGTGGTTGTCGTCATCAGAACCAGAGGATTCTCCAGAGTCGGACGATATAGTAATAGTCAGCGGCGATTGTCGGAGACGTCGACGGGATCGAATAGGACATAGATCAAAAGGAACAAAGACGTTGCATTGAGACTCCGATGAAGACAGGGAAGAGTCGGAGTCAACCTCCTCCCCTGAGTCAGAGGAAAGAGAAGATATATAAATAAATAAATAAATAAATTTATTCTCATAGTACAGTACATGAGGGACGCCAGTTTACAGGCATCATCAAATTGTTACAGAAATAGAACCATATAATTTAATCACAATTTACAGCCGGTAGCAAGATATGCTTTACATGTTCGATAGAGATTATACATACACTTGATAAATGTTAATTCCAGTAGTATAAAACAGCCTTTTCACTTATATACAATCATTTCTGTGCAAAGTTGGAAAAATCTGCTAGATTGTCAGTGAGTGCAACACAACAGGAAATACAGGAGTATTGTCTTCGCATTAACAAAAAAACCAGGTCTTTGGTGGATGGATTATAAGTGCCTGGGAAAAAAATAAAGCTTGAAGTAAATATTCATACATAACTTTGTTGTGTGCAGAGTCCTCGAATTATAGTTCATTGATGTGTTATTTTGAAATCAGTGATGTGTTTATCTCATTTGATCTGCAATGTCATTGTTGGGAGTAAGTACATAAGCTTCGGACGCATTAATTAATGGATTTCTACTGATTACGGGTATTTTCTTAGCGTAAGGAAGGTTTATGAGTTTCAGCTGTTCCGACAGGAGTTGAGAATATTGACTGCTCAGCAACATTATGGGTATAAGTTCATCACATTATCTAAGGAAAGGTGGGTTGCAGTTGGTGAGGAATATATGGTACCCAACGAGCGTTCATCTGTCCTTGTGATGTTGTGGTGAGTTATACCTTTTTCATGTTGTCGGTTTATGTCCATTTTATTCCACTTATTGTGTTGGGTAGTAGTTTTACAAACGAGATTTGTTGTCTGTTTGAGGATACGTATGTTAACCGTTAATGTTTTATCTAGAATTATAAATATAGGCAAAAAACAACAGGTGTAGTATTTAAGCTTATACATTAAATGGACCTATAATTTCGGAGGCTCTCAGATAGGAACTAGAACTAATATCGTTTGCAAACTCTTGTAGTTTGTCATTAAGCACCTTTTTGAAGGAGGCCAATGTACTTGCTTGACGCATTTCCATTGGCAGTTTATTCCATATCTGTGCATACCTAATCAAGTAAAACTTTTGCCTGGTGGCTGTTTACATTGTTCGATAGCTACTGTACCCTTAGTGTGTCTTAGTTTGTAGCCATTGTCATCTGAAAGTCGAGTGCCATTAGTAGAGGTAAAAACTAAGTGGTTTAGAAGCTTATAGTAAAGTGTCAAGTTTAGTCTCAGGCGTCTTAGCCATAGTGTTTCTAGTCCTAGGGTATCACATCTAGTGGAGTAGTTCGTACCATTTCCGGTTCCGAGTAATTTTAACGTGAAGTACCTCTGCACTCCCTCGACTTTCAATTTGTCCTCTATGCGTATGCTACTATACATGAATGAACAGTAATCAAATAAAGGACGCACACAAACCTTGTACAACAGAATTCTAGACTCATTTCTGTAGAAGTTCCTGAGTAGAAAGCCGATAAGTCTGCGTGACTTTGACACTTGTTTGGAGATGTGTTCAGAAAATGATAAGTTATGTGAATATTTCAGCCCTAGGTCCAGTACAGATTCCAGTCGTTGAAGTGCATGGCCTTGAATTGTCAGGTCAAGTTCTAAATTGTTGCAACCTATGCAGAGCCAGCCACATTTTTCGACATTAAATTGGAGTTGCCAGGTGTCACACCATCTATCCATTTTTTCTAATTCTTGCTGTATGGCGTTTACTGTTATTCCAAGATCTGTGTTCTTGCATTTATACGTCACTTTTAAGTCATCTGCATATAGTATTGGTTTACCTACACTAAAGCATTCACAGATACTGTTTATATATATTATGAATAAGAGTGGGCCTAATACACTTCCCTGGATTACACCACTACTTACTGGTTTAGGCCTTGAGATTATCGAGCCAACTTTCGTTGTCTGACTTCGGCCACAGAGAAATGATTTTATCCAGCTCAGGAGAGGATCACATATCCCTCGTGAGCATAACCTGCTGACTAGCAGATTATGGGGAACTCTGTCGAAGGCTTTTGTTATATCGAAATAAAGCACAATTACTAGTTCTCTGTTGTCCCTACTTCGTGTAACTTCGTTGAAAAAGTCTATGTGACAGGTCACGCATGATCTCTTTTTGAGAAATCCGTGTTGTGATGGATTGATAAGTCCATGTTCTAGTAAGTTGTCTGACACTTGGTCTTTAACCACTTTCTCCATTATTCGGGATATTACCGGTGTTATATTGATAGGTCTATAGTTGCATACACTGGTTTTGGCCCCTGCTTTGTGCTTAGGTAATATGTATGTGGTTTTCCACACTTCAGGATAAGTTCCAGTTTCTAATGAGAGAGTAAATATTCTAAGTAACAAGACTACCATTTCCGTGCTACCATTTTTGTACATGACAGATGGTATGTCATCTGTTCCAGTACTACCATTAGACTTCAAAGTCTTAATCGCTGAGTCTATATTTTGCATATTAAAGTCTATTTCGCCTAATTTGTGGTTGCTTTTGCAAGTCATTTGGAAATTTGGGGTTGGGTGCACTCTGGCGTCATTGCAAAACCACTCATTGAGGAGTTCGCTTATAACCTGGGGATCATTGTGTATTATACCCTTATGCTCCAAGCTGCTTACAGTATTGTCTTTACTACTTTTTAGACGTCTCTGCAATATCCTACAAAGTTCCTGAGTTTTGGAGTTACCCACAAGCGCTTTATTTTCTTCAAGTTGTGACCTCATTTTGTGTTTCTCTTCAAGCCCTTTAAGAGTTTCATGTATTTGGTTTAACGCATTAAATTCCTTAAATACATGGTATTTCCTTTTCAATTTCTTTAGTTTTAGTCGCGTTTTGCGGTCGATAAATGGAGTTGGTGTCTTTAGAGCAGATTTTAGGGGCGCGATTATGTCTCTTGCTGAGCCAATTGTTTTGTAGAAAATATCGAGTGATACTTCTAAGTTATTGTTAATGAAGTATTCTTCCCAGTCAGAACTTTTCAGCAGATCTGATAGGAATTCCCAATCGGCATTCTTATAGTCCCTATACTGATAGTGCACCGGGGAATTTTTAGGTGTGTGTTTAGTTGTTAGTCGGAATGGTAGCGTGCAGTACAATATGTTGTGATCACTGTTATCAAGTTTATTTCCTACCTCTATCGAGATGGGCTCAATTTCATGACAAAGGATTAAGTCAAGAGTGTTTTCATTTCTTGTAGGGAGGCGTACGCACTGCTTCCATCCGCCTACGTCTATAGCTTGTAGTAGCTCGTCATGGATTCTAGGTCCTGTACAGGTATCCCAGTTTACTCCAGGTAGGTTGAAATCGCCACAAACTACTTTGTAGTCAAAGTCCAGCGAAGCTGCATGCTCTAGTATTTCTCCAATAGCTATATCAGTCATTTCAGGGCTATTAGGGGGTCTGTATAAACATCCCACGAGAATTTTATTTTCGTTTGTGTGGATGCTTATCCACTTAGATTCAGGGAGTTTGTCAGTAGTTGGGTTATTGAAAGTATTGGAGTTAGTGGATTTAGAGGCATATATTAAGCAGCCGCCTCCTCTTTTGTCAACTCTATCGTTCCTATAGATGTCGTAGTTGTCTATTACTAGCTTTGAGTCAGGTATATCAGTAGTAAGCCAG